AAACCAAGAATGCATTCTGGCCTTTTCAGTGCTTCCCATGGAGAATTCAAGGATCCCTCCCCATGAGATTTCAAGGAAACTGTACCCTAGAGTAGGATGCTGGCTCAGTGCTGCAGGGGGAACCACGGGGAGCAGTGGTCACTGTTTCCTCATATGGGCTCAGTCCACAGTGAGACAGCACAAGACAGAGGGAACAAAAGTGTGCATGTAAGACTTGCACATGCCAAAGACATCTTATGTGTCCCTCTTCTCTGTTATCTGTGCACAGCCAGTGCATAACTCCAAACCATACCTAACTGCTCCCAAAGCAGTGATGCCAATGCTTAGCAGTAAAGTAAAGCAGCCATTCAGTTTCTAAAGCATATGCTGATGGTGTCTGTTGGTAAGTGGAGAGGGAAATATGTATATTTGTGTTAGAACTGGAAAGATAGTTGTTTCTCTTGGTGGAAATAATATCTGTATTTATGTCTACATATAATTTAATTTAATTTATCTCTGTCTCAAGAACAAACACCCTGAACCTACCCTAAGTATCCCTGGACCTAAGAAGGCAATTTAAGTAGTCTGGTCTGTACACTTAAATCCTAAGAGTAGGAGAAAGAGATGAGCAAGTCATCAGAACGGGCTGCTGAGGCTTGGATTCATCATACCTAAGTGTGAGCTCCTTTGTTATGAGCTGACTCTTTAGACCTGTGGTGAGTGAGAATCATCTCAAAAGAAATCTGTCTCACCTGAGAACGTACTAGTGTTCTAGAAGTGCCTGAGTCTCTCCACTAAGGATGGGGACAACTCAGAGATTCAAATAACACAGGATGAATGTGTGAATTTGGCCTGTAATCTCTGGGCCTTTATCAGACCTGCAGTGATTTTTTTGACTATAGCATTCAAGCTTTAGTCAGTCCAGCAAAAAGATTAGAAAAAGTTGTACATTTTTTATTTTGGCATATCTCCTCCTTTCCCAAGGTAAAGTTTCTGTTTTTGGAAAGAAAAGGTAATAATCTTGATGTTCAGCATCAATTCTGCCAGTTTTAACTTAGTGGCACAGAAAATTAGCTAAGTATAATGGCAGCACCTGTATCCTTTATTTGGAAAAGTTCTTTGAGCAGGATGGAGCTGACTGAGTTTATGTATTTTATTGGGCTGTCTCAGTGTGCAATACAGATACGGAAAAGATGGAGGTCCTTATTATACCGAAATCTGGACAAGCAGCATATCTGAGAATTTATGATACATAACCTACTACTTTGTGCTTTAATATTTAGCAGGATCCTTATGCAAAACGTTTTTAGAATTGTACTGTTTAGGATTTCTCAGGCTTAGGTATAATGTATAATAATAATAACAACTGTTGGAAGTAAAGGAGTCTGACAGTGGATTCATTCACCTCTGTAATCCAGATTTTCCTAAAAGTATTGTGTAAGTAAGTGCCATGATGTTAGCCAAAAAACCAAACCCATGCCAGAAAACCCACTTTCAAGGTGTTTCTGTATCTAATATGGCTCTTTATATGAGTAGGATGTTCTGTAAAGTGAGGAGGAAAGTATATACTGAAAGAGCATTTTAGAACTTAACGCGGAAGGAGGGGGTAGAATTGTCAAAGTGAGTGAATAAGTAATGGTTCTTGTTTATTCAGTGTTTTTGTTCAAAACCATTTTGTTTGTTTCACTCCTTCTGCATCAAGTGTCCTGCCCAGAATAAAGTTACTCTTGAAGAAGTGCTACTGACTCGAGTCTTGCTCTTTGATTCAGTCTTTAATAAAAGCACTTTAGTTTGCCTTTTGTTTCTTTGGTTTTTAAGTTGTGGGTTGATTGATTGGGTTTTTTTTAAATAATCCTTTCCTGTAGTGCCTTCTTCGAGGAGCACTGCAAGTTTACTGGCCATGTGGTTTGAGTGCATGTAATTTTTGCAATATCCTTTGAGCTCCATGTAAAGCTAATTGCTTAGTCCTTGGATGTCAGCTCCTCAGAACCTACCTACAAGGCTGCCTCAAAACAGAATATGTGTAACACCTTGGATGGGCAGACAGTTGGACTAGATTGTTGTGGGTCCCTTCCAAGGGAAATCTATTCTATTCTATTCTATTCTATTCTATTCTATTCTATTCTATTCTATTCTATTCTATTCTATTCTATTCCGTTCTGCTCTCTCCTGCTTTCAAGGCAGTAGAAGCTGAAGATTGTTGATAATTTACAACTCCAGTCCTTTTGTAAGCTCTTAAAGTGGGCTGCAAATCAATTGAACGGCTGAAGAACTAGGTGAAAAGTGCATTTAAAGAGCAACGATGCTCATTTTAACTAGGGGGTGTGTGTAATGTGAGGAGCTCGTGGATTTGGAAGTGACTATAATGGAATGGAAATCATGGACACCTGGCTTGAGGGACAAAAATTGCTTTATTGTCCCTGATCCTGCGTTTTTATCTCATTCACTTTCAGCTGGGAGTGGTTATGCAAATTAAGACTGAACACAGGTGCAAGTCACACATCCAGCTCTCTCTCAGGCTGGCCTTTCACACAGACACCACACACACAAAGCTTGGAGTTTGAGGCCAGCCTTTTTACCATGACGAAATTGTTTACATTGAGATTAAAAAAAAAAACTCAATTTGCTCACAGTCATGCCTTGCAGAGTGAGCGATTATGGGGGTTTGGGAGCGCAAAACAATGGCAAACTGCCCCATGCAGCGCCTCACTTGGATGTGTCTGCAGTCTTGGAAGCTTGACTACCCTACGTTCTCCTACAAATGGACCTTGAGCTTGTTTGGAGGTTCTAGCAGGGGAGCGCAGCTACCGTATACCCTTGACCGATGAACGGTACCGTCTCTATCGGGGAGGTCGTCCTCTTCGACCGAGCGCGCAGCTTCGGGAGGGACGCACATGGAGCGTTGAGGGAGGAAGGGGACACCCGCCTAGCCAGCCAGATCAGCCGAATCAACCCTGGCGATCAATGGGGTGACAGATGTCGCAGCCAGATCGCCCTCACATCCAGGAACAGCGAACCAGCACGGCGCTATTTATACCTCAAAACTTTGGATCATCTTTACGTCACGGTGTTCTTCTCCGGCTGAAAATTCGGTGACACAACACATGAAATTAATTCTGCATGGCGACAAAACTTTCCGAAACAGACCCGTGACAAATTTTTAAGGATTTTTGTGGGGTTATGGTTCTTTCTAGAGGCCTTTGCGAAATATGCAGATTTGTGGCTTTCTATTGGCTCGCTTCGCCGTGACGCGTCACGGCGCGGGGCGGGGCCGGGCGGCGGCGGCGGCTGCGGAGGAGGTGGGTGCGCTGCGTTTTCGGGCTGCGTTCGCGTGTGGGCGCTGCTCCAGTGCCCGGTGTCAGGGCTGGGAGCTCTCTCCTCCCGATCCCCTCGCCCTCCGGGGCTCTTAGCTCGGTTAGCTCAGGTGCTGCGGGGGGCTGTTCCGGGCTCAGGTTGGCACTCGGTGCCTGACCCGTGGATCGGCTCCCGGTCACGGAGCGCGATGGCTCCCCATGTAACAACACGGACCACTCTCCATCTCTTGTGAGCCCAGAGCTTGTCCCCAGCGGAGGGGGGAGCCGATGGCCCGGGGGTGCCGCCTGTCGCACCTGAGCAGGGATGTGCCCGGGTCGGTGTTCCGAGGTACGGGCGAGAACAGCGGCCGCTCTGGACTGAGGAGGGCTGAAAGCAGGCAGGGAAATCGGGCCCTGGAGTCTTGGATTCGCGAGACATTCCAGGAACAGCTGGTCCCCTGGGCCTCTTCACCGATGTCCTTCTGGTCCGTAGCTAGCGTGGGAGCGATCGCTTCTTGCACTGATATTTATTGTTCCCTTGTTCCCCCTGTTAGCCCAGATGGCCTTCATAAATCATAAGGGAGTAAATTCAGATCCTTTTTTCCCAAAGTCTCTTCTGCTGTTGAGCTGTCAGGCTGAGAATGGTCAGCAGTCTACCTGCGATTGTGGCTCCTGGCTGCAAACTGGCGCTTTCCCTCCTTGGGGTGAGAAGAGCAGGGAAGGGAGAAGTTCTTTGCCCATCCCCGGGGTGCTCTTTCCATCTAATTTCAGTTCACAAGTTGGACTTTCTCTTCCAGTTTTGCATGGCAAGCTCAGTCCTAGGAACCAGAATGCTACAGCTCTATCCAAAGCTTGTTGATGCCCCAGTATTTACAAGACAGGCACCCCCTAGGCCTTTTTCATCCATTTGCCTTTACTGCATCAATGTGTGACTTGCCCATGTCCTGTGACCTGCCTGCTGGCATGCTAGGAGCAGGTCTCAGGAGGATGCACTGAAGAAAAGTGACTCTTCTGTTTGTTTAATTTTTTTAACTACAAGTTAAAAATCACCTTTGGCTTTTTTTTTCTTTCTAATTTTGTGAATTTAGTTGTATTACAAGCAGCTTCTGTTTAATGCTGTTCTTTCATGTGGTTCACACTGATACTTTTTGTGTTTCTCATGAACCACTATATTTATTAGGAGTACAGATACTACCTGGCAATGTTTTATTCCCAGTGATTTACCTTGGAGCAATTGGAGGCCCCTAAGCAGACGTGGGCCAAATAGCCTGGCTCATTTGAATTCCCATAGTGTGATGCAGTCTCATATTTTTCTTGCCTGTTGGCTAACAAGCAGATCATTTGCCTCCTGCGTGCTCAAGGCTTTTTTCCCCCTCTGCTTATGAAGGAGCTCTTGGAACATTGGAAACTGGAGTTTATTGTTAGCATGCCAACAGCCTCTTTTCCAGTGTTGCCTGAACTGTGGATTGAAGCGACAAGAAATCTCCCTAGAGGGAAAACAGCTCTCAGTTGCAGCAAGGACTTACTGTTATGAAGTTCTGCACATGAAATGCCAGTATGGTGACATTTGATTGCTCTCTTGGCTTATGGCTCTACAGTGGAATCTAATTCCTGCTGAGACCTAAACACTAGTCAATTAGAAAAATAACAATTAGTAGCCTCATTTATGAAGACATTAAAGAAACTAAAATGCTGCTTGCAAAGCATGATGTATTTGATCAACTGAAAAGTCTGTAAAGTTTTGCTTAGCAACAGGGTTTATTAATAGAAAGAAATGTGACCCGTAGAAGGATCAGTACTGCAACACTGAATCTCTTGGTTTTTAATCTGGATTATTACAGAAGAAAGAGGCCATTCTTCTACTGATTCTGGATCACATACTTACCCTGCATCACCACCGCTAGAAAGAAAAGTTAGAGGCTTGAAAATACAGTCTCGTACTTCACCTAAGCATGTATAGTATTAATGTTTAGGTACTTTTAGCATTCTGTGATACAAGGACTGCTAGTTTTGGAAAACCTGTCTGCTGTCCCTTCTCCTCTTTGATCAAGACTTGGCTTTCAGTGATGATTGTGTAACTCTGGTGCTAAAACTTATATTTCCTAAAAGTTTTGAGGATTTTCTTAGTGGTGGGGTTTAATTTTTTTCACATATCTCCTATGAGATTTTCCTGAATTTCAGGAAGATGAAAAGTCTATGAAATAGTCTGAATTGACTGTGCAGCAGTCAAACCAAATCATTTTAGACTGAAACTCTGCTGAAATATTTTTTCAAAAGTAATTTAAATTTTTGTTACGTGAGTGACCTGTGAACCATTATTCCACCTGCCGTAAGATTTTCTTCTAATTATTAACTAATTATATTTTATAACTCTTTTAGGTAACAGGAAGTTTGAAGTCATGTCTGGAAAACCGAAGCTTTACTACTTTAATGGAAGAGGCAAGATGGAGTCGATTCGTTGGTTGTTAGCTGCAGCCGGGGTCGAGGTTTGTTTTAGTGCTTTTAACTCTTAGCTGCATGTTGGTAAGCTTGCCTTTTGAGGCAGATCACAGGTTATTAGCGGGAAAGAAAAGCTATCCCAAGACACAGTAGTACATGAGCACTGGCTATTCAGTGTAGTTCAATACTCTTACTTTAGGCACACAAAAGCATGTCTTCAGGTTACGTGTCTTCCGAGCAGCAACACTGTAAACTAGTTTCTTGCTTAACATAACAATGTGTAAGCCTTAATTAAACATTTGTTTACTGACCCGGAGCTTCTGAGCTGAGAGATGTGTTCCTGGCATGACAAGTGTTGTCTGTGCCAAGTAAAACAGCAATGAATGTGCTTTCTCTAGTCTTTCTGTTTTCAGTTGGATGCTCACACAGAAATTTTTATTTTGTTTTTCACTCCACTGGCTGCATCCTCCACAGTCAGCTGCAGCACCAAATATATTGTGTTTTGTTTGCATCATTTAGATGAAGCTTAACAGGGCGAAGTGAGTAAACTGACTTATGTTGAGAAATTAGAAATCTCAGAGCAGGAGGAAAAATATTTGGGTAAAACAGAGAAGCAAGACACCACTTGAAAATATTTTTTGATGGCATATAGTTTACTTATTCATTTGCTGTCTATCTTGGTGATAAACTGATAATTCAGTCTGAGGACAGAAAAGACAAGTAGTTGCCTTGAGTATCCTCTTTTATACAGTAAGCTGTTACAGTGCATTCAGTTGCTCCTGTACTGAGCTAAGGAATACAGATTCTTCAAAAAGACCACTAATCTTTTTTTAAAGGCCTTACAGAAGACACAGCTGGCTGCTTCCCTGCATTGTTTGTTCCTATGTGTTAAGTCCCTCTCTCCTCTCTTTTTATTTTTTTGTTTGTTTGTTTGTTTTTGTTTTGTTTTGTTTCATTTTTGCTTTTTTTTTTTCTAATTAAAAAAAAAAAAGCTGTTGACAGGTACCAGTTATTCCATTTTTCCCTGGGATATTCTTTTCCCAGCTTCTCATCAGCAGAAACCTGGGTTCTGAGTTTTAGACTGTGATTACCCTTGCTATGTTCAACACTGTCAGTGTATTAGTGGGCCTAATCTTCTGGGGTTTACCTCATATAGCAAGTCTTAATTATTAACATAACTAGCACAGATATGAGAGAGGCTGATTGAGCTAGGCATCTAGGGATTGGTAACATCAGTAATTTTGTAGTCTCCATGTTCTGCATTGACCATAGCATGCAGACACTTACATTTAAATGTCTAACTTTGGTGTCTTAATCTTGAACTCAGTTTCTCTGTAAGTAGCACTGATTAGACCAGCTGTCCTCAACCATACTGAATATAACTACATCATTCTGATCACAGGGAATTTTGTGTCTTTTTGGTTTTCGTATTGTGAATAATTCATCTTTAGGTATCCTAAACATGCTTTTGTAGTAAACTTCCTTCAGGGCTTACAACTATTACATTATTTTGTAAAAGCTTTAACTTCCTAAAGATTTGTTCCTGTCTAGCTTCCAAATCCAAATATCCCACAGCAGAGCTTTTTTCCCACATTCCAGAGAGCATCTTAAGGACAGCCTAGACTGTATTGTTGATTGTTTCACAATGAATTGCCTGTTCAATACCAAACAAACCATCCTCACTGCAGTTCTTATTGCCTGTTCTTCTGCTAGGGTTGCCTTTAGCAGCATTTACCAAATATGACCGTCGCAAGAGATTTTACCAACACTTCTGTCCTTGGTGTTTTCTCCCTTAGAGCTGTATCTGGTATGGAAGGGACCATAATATATAATCTCTTCCTTTTAAGGTGCTTAAAAAGTTTACCTTTTCTAGAAATGTGAAAAGATGCTTACTTCTCCTTCTTCACTTTCTTTGGTCAGTTTGAAGAAGAGTTTTTGGAAACCCGAGAGCAATATGAAAAGCTCCTGCAAGGTGAGTCCACATGGAATGTCAGGAAAGAGTGACCAGACTTTAATTAGAGGAGATGTGTGAGGTCTTTGAAGACTGTGTGGGATTTTCTTTTCTCCACAGTAAAGATGAGAGCTGTAAGCAGCTGCAGAGTCTAATTTTTTTCCTGTGCAGACAGATGCAATTGAAAATTTAATGTCTTTCCAACATGGAGGGTTTCTCAGCTCTGGGTTTTTTTGTTCTCCATTTGTCTTCCTGTCCCACCTGGTCCTGCAAACTTACCCTGTGCTCCACTAACTTGAAAAAATGTGTCCTAAAATTTTGTTGAATGTCCTGATTTAGCTTTTAAATACTCACCATAAGACAGAACATTGTGAATCTGACATTTGCTTCAAATAGGATTCAAATAATGGAACAGAATTTTTTACATTATTTAGAATTAGACACTTGTTACTCAGCTGATACGTTTAGCGTGGTTGTCTCCAATGTATTTCAATTTCAGTATAAAAGCTGCTGTACCCAGTCCTGACTGCAAATTCACTTACATTTTTTTAAAGAAAGCATGTTAATCCACAGTAATTGTGTTCTGCAGTTAAATTCATCTGCTGTAATTTATTGTGTGCATGGAAGAACTCCAGTTTAATACAATGACTACCCACAGCAAGCTCACCATAAAAGTTAAAATCTTCTGAAGACAGCAAGAAATCTGACATGAAGTTACCAGATCAGTTAAATAATGTGTGTCTTCTCCTTTAGGTGGATCCCTGCTGTTTCAGCAAGTGCCCATGGTGGAGATAGATGGGATGAGGATGGTGCAGACCAGAGCCATCCTCAGCTACATTGCAGCAAAGTACAACCTCTACGGGAAGGACCTGAAGGAAAGAGCCCTGTATGTAACAGTTCTTGAATTTATTACAGTAGCTCAGCTCTATCTAGAATTAATTGCATACTTGCATACACAGAGAATCACCTCTGTGCCTCAGTGACACAAAGCTGGTAGTGAACCTGAGAGGCCATGGTTAGATGCAAAACAATTGATTTGTTCTAACAAAATTTGTTCTAACGTTATTTTTACATAAAATATTAGAGTCAGGGGTTTACTGTGCTCTAATGAAAGATTAATACAGCTTGACACAAGTATTTGAGAGGTGACAGGTATGTAAATGCTGAACTACTTTAGTAAACAGAAAACTTGGGAAAGAAACAGTTTTTAAATTTTGGCTGCAAAGTAAGATCTGCCATTCACATTATCTGTGATCGCGTGATGTTCCACTGCACTGAAAAAAGTGTGTGGTTTAGGTCCTCGGGAGCTGGGGAAAGAAGAGATAAAAGCTATTGAAAAGCTGTTATTTTCATGTGAAATTAAATCCAGGTTAATGTTGTGACTGTGAAGGAAAGAAATGTGACTGGGCTACCTCAGTACGTAGCATTTTAAATGTCCATTTCCTATTGGCTTTGCAAATTCCTATTCCAATCGCAAATGATTGGAGGAATTGGCTGAAGCAGGTTCTGGCAAGTAACAAAAGAGAATAAGTATTCAGACAAGAACCTCAGTCATAGCTCGTAGCTTCTTTGTGTTGTTACCAACCCTCATTTCCTGTAGTTTGCATTCCATGTATACCTCCTCTTTCAAACAGAATTCTCTTCCGTCGAGTTTTTAGATTTAGGCTGGAACCTGTTCCTGCTGTCTTATCCGCAAATATAAATCAAATACACTTGTTGATTTGGTTTTGGGTGAGCCATGGCAGGGAGTGGAGGGAGGCAAGAAGCATTGTTGTTTCGAGGAAGGCTTGCTGTGAGTACCTCCATGTTTGAGGTACAGTGAGGAAGAGCAGTTTTGGAAGATTGGATAAATGCAGGCTAGAAACTGACATAAAAAGTGGCAGGAATATCTGATAGCTTCTTATTGTTCAGAGCTTGTTCAGTCTTACGAAGGCTTTGTGAGGAGCTGTTGTTTGACAGCAGAAACCATTATTAGCCTTATTACACAGCAGGAACTCAAATCTTTTACAATAAAGGACGGTTAAAGATTTTATCAGACTGTTTTACCAGATATTTTATCCATATTCATGAGAACTTAATTTAAATGTGAGCCCACTCTGCAGTACAAAACGGCTCTCATAGCTCTGGGAAAATGGATAAAAAGGACAGTCCAAAGAACTGCTGTACTGATAATTTAGCTGGAAGCAGAACCTGGTACGCTTCAGATGTCCAGCCCTATTATTAATCTGTTTGGCTGGCACCACTTGGACTTTGGATGAAACCCTGAAGCCAGAGGCTTAAGGCAATTGGAGATGAGTTCTTATGGTAGTGTGTATTTCCTTGGTGATTCTGAAGTCATCTGTAACACCACATTTACTCTTTTTTAACCTCTGTACAGTCCTGTTTAATCCTGCCCAATGAGGCAAATAAAGGGCCTACAACACTACAAATACAAGTGAGACTCAGAGTGTAACATACTTTTTTTAATTGCAAAAATAATTTTCATGAGGGGAATGGGAATTTCAATTTTTACTCTCATAACACAAATCTAAGAAAATTCTACTTGTAGAGGTGCCTTCTTATTTAATATTTTTCTGTGCTTTGGTTTCAAGGATCGATATGTATGTTGGAGGAACTGATGACCTCATGGGCTTCATTATGATGTTCCCTTTCTTATCGGCTGAGGATAAAGAGAAACAACGTGCTTTTATTGTTCAAAAGGCAACAAGCAGGTATTTCCCAGCATATGAAAAGGTGTGTAGGAGGGTCATTTTCTTCCATTTTTCTGGGGGGGAGGGCAATGGGAAAACGGGTATTTTACCAAAGGCAGAAGAAACAAAAGTGTCAGTTCAGTACTTTAAAGGAGGACATAATACTGTCTGCAGGCTGGTGAGACAAGGAGGAGGTCAGAGCAGTATGAGACAAATTGGGCCCTTCCAGTATGTTTTCTCTCCCATGCCCAGCTGAGGAGGGGAGCAATAGAACAGCTTTGATGGGCAGCTGGTGTCCAGCCAGGATCAACTCACCACAGTAACTCACCTTGCAAAAGCAGTGCTAATTGTCATCTTTGTTTTAACACTTCAGCAGCAATACACAGCTGTCACTGCTGTCTTCACGCCATACTGGAATCTGCTTAAGCCTGCTGCTTAAGCCATACTGGAATGTTGGTGTTTTTTTAACTTGATACTTTTTTCTAAGTTTGATACTTAGAGAGACAGCACTCCAGAGATACTCTTGCTGATAACTAATATCCGCAAGACAGGATGATCCGGCTGGAATAGCTGCTTCTCTTTTAAAGAGTAAAAAGAAGACAGTTTTCTACTTTGCCAGTGTAGTGGCTGTCAGAGTGCATTCTTCCCTAGATTCCACTTGTTACATCTTAGCCCTGGTGTTTTAGTCTGATCACCTCTCTTGTACATTGTCTGGTTTTCCGCTGAAGCTGTAACTGCATACAGAAAAATTGAAGATTTATTAGGCTTGAAAGGTGTGAATACCAAGGAGGTATCTAACCTTGTAGTCCAGTACACAGGGTTATGTGGTGCTATAGGAAGGAACAGTGGGTGAGAAAAAGTCTAGCATTCTAGGTTACAGCTGCAGAATGAAGAGTGACTGCAGGCACTGGGCACACATCCCCCTCAACTAGTAACTGCATGGGACAGAAGGGTGAAAAGGAGACAGTAAGATCAAAGAAGGTGTGCCTGTGTGGTTTGGAAACATGAACCCTACCTGGCTGTCCACATCTGAACATTGTAATCTATGACATTTCTAGGTTTTGAAAGACCATGGGCAGGACTTTCTGGTTGGCAACAGTTTAAGCTGGGCAGATGTTCATCTTCTTGAAGCCATTTTAATGGTAGAAGAGAAGAAGTCAGATGTGCTCTCAGGCTTTCCTCAGTTACAGGTACCTTGCACTGACAATATGCTCATATGTCTGTAAATGTGATAAATGATATTTCCAAGTATGTTATGTGTAGATAATTACATGAAGCATTTGTCACCTTTTCACTGTAGTCTCATTCTTCTTGCTTTAGGAAGAGCCTTGTAATATATTTCATCTAGAGAATCTGTTATTTTCTAGAATAAATCCTGTACACATCTGAAGAAATGCACTCCCCCTTTTTTTTTCTTCTTCTCACCAGTTCAGTGATACCTTTAAGCAGAAAATATTTTCTGGATCACAAGAACTGATTTGAGTAATATACACGTCAGAAATCACAGATAACTGTTTCCACTTTATCCCAAGAGGGCTGATTTATTACTGTGGAAAATAACAGCGTCGAAGTGAGGGGGAGTAAAATTCATCCACGTCTAGAACTGTATTCCTTGTCTTGTCTCCATGTACAACTTGTTAAAGGACGTTACACAAATCAGTAAAATTGGTTTTTTTCTTGTGTTACTTTCTGGTTTTTAAATACCACCTACTTACTGTTTGCCTTTTAGGCATTTAAAGCAAGGATAAGCAGCATCCCCACAATCAAGAAATTCCTAGAGCCAGGAAGCCAGAGGAAGCCTGTTCCTGATGATAAATACGTGGAGACTGTGAGAAGAGTTCTGCGCATGTACTACGATGTGAAAGCGAATTAGTGTGCGGGGGCCAGAGCACAGCTGTGCTCGGGCTGAGAGGGTGGCCAGGCCACACACAAACAGTTACACTGCGCAGGAAGGCAAAGGGGGGTTCGAGAGGCCTTTCTGTGGGCAATGCCTGGTGCACTCAGACAAAATACAGTAGGCAGGTATCTTTTATAACACTTTATTACTAGCCTGTTTTTTCCTTCATGTTGAGATTTTTTTTTCTGGTAATTTTAAGCAAGTGAAGTGGCAGCAAGAATGGTGTGTGAAATAGCGAAGAAAAGAGAAACGTGAGCCAGTGACTGACAGCTTTCAGCATGTTCTGCTGCTTCTGAGGATTTCTGAGGTCCAGATCAGATTTTTATATGATGATTGCTTCCAATTTATGCCTTTGTTTTTAATATCACTGTTGGTGAATGAAACAAGTGTTTTTTAAAGAAGGTAGGAGGGAGGTGTTTCTCTTGCCAGTTCTACTGGACATCCGTGCCTTGCCTGTGCCTTGTGCCTTTATAATTAAGCTATACTTTTATTACTGAATTAGGAAATAAATTTACTGCTAAATGGTATTTTTGTTTAACCACTCTATCTAGAGGATCTGTTCTAATCAAATAAACTTTTTATGTGGTCTCATTGTCCTGTTGTCTCATGAATGAAAGTTGGGGCTTGCAAACTAAATGTTTACTTTTCTTGGAGGATAAATTACTTATATTTTATATGAACAGGGTCCTTGTTAACACATATGCCTCATGCAAAGCTATATTTTGTTTGTGTTTATACACAAAAGAATGGAGATGTGAAGGAGAGGTAGTAAACCATCACACAAACCTTATGTAGTTCCTATCTAAGGCCTAGTAGCAGCCAAACTCAAAATGTTTCTTTTCCTCTTTTTTAAGTCTGTAGTTTCCACAGACAACTAGACAAAGGAATTTAAAATGTTTTAATCACTTCAACAAATGGCACTTATGCCTTGAAAAGCTGCTCTGCAGGATGTTATCTTGGGGGTTTATATCTGTTATTTATAGTTCTATATTAATGACATAACTTACATGAAAAGACTTGTGCTCAATCCTGAATGGCACTCTTTTATTCCTGTATTAGCTATGGGTTGAGAAATAAGATGCTGCTGGATATTGGATTGCGGTGAGCACACTCATCTGATATTGGATAGACAAGTTGCCCACTTGAAAACTCATCAGTCTCCTCAGCTTCAGTCTGACTGAAGTTTTCAGCACTACAAACACTTTTCCTTCATTTCCAGGTATACAAAGTTTGTACTGATCTGCAATATCTTATCAGTCACCTGCGTTCCTAATGTCAGTTGCAGTTGCAGTTTAGTCCTTGGTTTAATCTCAGTTTAATACAAAAGTTTGGAAAATTCTGTAATTTTGCTAAGTGACATTTTTCTTCATAATATGAGGAAAGTTGTGGTTTAATGCTGTCCAAAAGTTCCACAAGCAAAGATGCAGAAAATGCGGGAGGTGACTCTACCAGTACTTGGTGGTGGTAAGCTAATAGCTGATGGTCATACCTTTTTAGTAAAGGTATGGCACAGCAACAATGGATGTGAGCAGAAGATCAGTTGGTACTGAAGCCTTGTCATCAGCTCTGTATGTATTTGGAACAGAGTTAACTTCATGGAATCACAGAATCAGATGGGTTGGAAAGGACCTCTGAGATCATCAAGTCCAACCCTTGATCCACTACCACCACAGTTACTAGACTATAGCACTTTGTGAAAGATGCCCATACTGAGCATCCTTGAGTCCTGGTATAGCACTCTAGAGTAACTATTTAGGTTGTTGGCTGACTTCAGTAATGCTTTCAGGACACATCAGAGCATTTCAGTTCTGTTACCAGCCTTCAAGACAGTAACAAGCAAGTAAAATATACAGACTTGTTGCTGTTTTTCCTATATCTTTCAGTGTTGCTGGCCCAATAGTACCTGGCTCAAAATTAGTTAAGAATGCATCATAACCTCAGGAACTGTTTTAATTGTCACAAAGACTTAGGCATTAGACGGGCAGTTTTGATGTATTTTCCAAGAAGGACTGGGATTTGTCCTCAACCCTTGCTCAGGTAAGACCTATTTATGTACAAATCAGCCTGCAGCATCATTCTGATAGTCAGGCAAGTTGTGCTTAGTGGGGGTAAAGGCTGTGATCCTACACAACCTGTTCTGGTTTAAAACACTCTGTCCATGGAATTGCAAGTTCAAGTTAAAACACTGGGATAATTATTAATTTTTTTATTTAATAGTGAGTACAGGATATAGGCTTTACTACAAGTTATGGTTTCTAATGCCTGTATGGAATCTTTATAGATTATTCTGCATTGTGTTTGCTTATATTTTGGTAGGTTGCAATTCCAATGTAACCCTACTATCTGAGCACCTCTGAAGGTGCAAAAGAAGGATCAGCTATTTATAGGGATTTTGCATATCTCCTGCATGCTTCTGGTGTCTCTTCTTCTCACCTGACTATAGCAACACTAACAAAAGAAAGCAAGATGCCAAATTCAGGGAAAACTATCCAGACTGACCGGAGAGCTCCTCACTCTGCTTACAGCAGGCATTTGACAGCTACCACTACACTTACTATCACTTGCCAATTGCCACCATAAGCAAAATAGGCTTGATTTGGGGAAAATTAATTAATTACCAATTAATATAGTTTGACAGTGAGAAACAAAGACTTGAACTGCTTCCTCCCACTCCTTCCCAGACTCAACTTTTTCCCTCCTTTGTTACCAACTCCTCTACTTCCCTGCCTCCATCTCCTCTTGACATTCGCAGGGCTGTTTTTCCCTCACACTTTGTCATGCAGTGTTGTGTCCCATCTTAAGCACATTTCCCCGAAGTGCCCCCACCTCGGCTGTGGGCTCAGCCCTGCCCTGTTTTGGGTGGGTTGGAGCCAAGTGGAACCACCAGTGTCTGGCACGGAGCTCCCTCACAGAGCCCTGCTGAGCCCCCGGGTGCCAACACTCAGTACCTCAGTTACTGGTTTATGTGGTACAAATAAGCTTGTAAGTCTCTCAGCAGGTTTCCAAACGGGTCGTGGGGATAACTGGGAGCTGCTGGTGGCCTTGGAGCTACTCATGTGTGTGGTCACAGCTTTGAGGTCCAGGAGGGGGAAGTTCATGTTCCACAGGAGGTGTGTAGGAGCTGAACACTTCGTTCTTGCCTGGGCACTGCTGGTGCAGAGGAGTTCTCGGCAGGCTGCACTCGGAACCCGAAATTCGGAGTTGCATTAAACCTCAGTCTTGCTCGTAGGAAAAACTCTTCTGTTTGCTGTAGGGGAAATTTTCATTCTTAGGCAACTCCTCGGCGTGTTCCCGGGCTCCATTTCAACACTGCAGGAGCTGTGGGCATGGAATTAGCCTGACCTTACTTTTCCTGCCCCCAGGTGGGGCTCTGCTCTTACGGCAAGTGCCCTCCCTGGTCACTGGCGGGATGGAGATGGTGCAGCCCGGAGCAATTCTCAGCCATACAGCCCGAAAAATACCACCTCCGTGGGACGGACTTGAAGGGCCTGAAGCCTGGTAAAGTAACTTCAATCCTCTAAGCACCGGATGCCCACTTTCTAACTGTGACTACTTTTGTAGTCAGCAGAAATAAATAATATCACCAGATGACGATTTATCTGGAAGGCACGTCTAACCTCCCAGCTTCTGACTGAAAGCACGTCTGCAAGCCACCTCAGTGCAGGGCAGAGAAAAGCATATATATACATACCACCAGCAGACCCTTCCAGGCTTTGACCTGAGAAACTTTCATTGTTACTGTCTATTGGAATTTCTTGTCCTGCAGCCTGTGTCTGTTGCCTCTCCTACTTTCACTATGGCCCTGTGAGGAAAGCCTGGTCCTGGTCCCTCTACATTTTAAGTAGATGAAGACAGCAATTAGATCCATGGCACTTCACTATTTCACATTTTTATGAAAGAGATAAAACTAAAAATAGCACAATTCACAGAAGATTAAAAAAAAGAAATTGACTATAGGGAGGAAAGTTGAAATTCACTGAATGAAATCAGTATGCTGTGAATGAATAAATAGGATGCATTTAGTCTAGTTAAATGCAGTTTGCCTGAATTCCCACTGATGTGAGAAGCAGAAACTCAGAGGAGGAGATACTGAAGGACATGGTGAATATTAGCCATATACCAGCTCCCAGCATGGCACTGGCACTCAAAAAAGCTAATGTGACCTTGGTCTATGGTGGAAATTTTCAAAGAGCATCTTTGTATAACTCTACATCAAAATCTAACATTTACCCACGAGTTACATAGCTATAGGCATCACTTAATCTAATGCAGAACTGGGGACAGTTTTTCGGTTATGCTGCAGATTTGTTTATATTGCTTGCCCTACAACTACTACTTTCCTTTTCAGACCAATTTCTACACTGCAGCAGAACTATTTAATCTCACACCTGGAAACATCACCCAAGGGAAGATGGAATGGAATGTTGTCATTTCTGGTAAGAGAAAAAGAGCTTGACCTCACCCTAGTGCAGAAAGATTAAGTTCTGAAAGGCAGATTATCCCACTACTAATCATTGTATGGTTTTATACCTTGCCTTGTAAGCTTGTACTGTCTGACTTGCACATACTTTTCTCTGAGGCCATACCATTAGGAAAGTGCCTTCTTCCTTGTCATCAGCCCTGAGCCACCTTCAGATGACACTTATTTGTTGGCTTGTGATTAGAACTTTTCCCACCCCTATTCTTAGTAGTTGCATTGTTTATCAATCTTAGGCTTTTAAAGCAAGAGTAAGCAACATTGCCACAAATAAGAAATTCCTTCAGCTTGTCAGCCAACAAAGCAATGATGAATCCAGCTGAAGAAACTGTAGCATTAACAATTTTTTTTTTTACCAGGAAGTGAAGCCAGGTTCTATCTGCTCTCATTTTTCAACCCCTCTTCTGACTTAAACCTTGATTTTTGTTCTTCTAGGTTTGTGCAACCTTGCACATGAACAAATGGGTCTAATGCTGAAAACCTCATTAGAGAAGAAGCCAGGTTACCTTTCACAAACTGTTTTACATTACCTGCAAGAAAGTTAAATGCACAGTTAAATCATTACTTATAAATGTCATTATAGCCCATTTATTTTTATAATTTTGAACATGCTACCAAACAGTGAATAAAGAGCATCTTAAAGGTGGGATAATTCTAGGTTGTATAAATAATGTGTCACTATTCTTGTTTCACTGACTCTTTTTTTTGCTTACAGATCTGTATAAGAGTGTTTAAGGGAAGGTGATAATATTTGTCTTCGAAGATAAATTAATACTGAAATCTATATTAGGGTTAGGGGTCTTATAAAAATTCTGATGAACTCCAGGGAAAAAAAAACTTCAGTGAAAACAAAAGTGTTTTATAAGAGAAGAAATTGACTTGTTGCCAATAAAACCTATTGTCTGAAAAGTATAAATAAATCTGGTTTTATTTTAAAAGGACCAGAACAAGCCCCCCAAAAAATTTTACAGGAGGAGAGCTGATTTTGAATTTGTTCAAGTGATCAATTTTTATAATTATTTTATTGTAAAAATTATTTTTAATTGGAAAAAAAACAAATTGTTATCCAGCTTTATAATTGGTCAACATCAGACAAAAATAGGATTGAAATTTCCAC